GGCTGCTTAAGGGCAGCAGTTGCTTGTATCTGCACAAAAGGACCAGTAGCTCCTCAAATTGTGTTCGGGGGGAAAAGATCCTAGAAAAGTGCAACCCTGAGTAGATTTGGTAGGATCAAGGCATTCACAGGGGAATCAGAATTTGTGTGTAACAACCTATATGGCCCTACCTAGTAACCTGACCCAAAGCCCAGTATAGGCAAAGGAAAAACTCTCACAGACAAGTGGGACTAACTGGCAGAATAAATGGCCACACTGGGACACTGCCATTCCCCAAAATGGAGAATTGGAAAAAATGGGAAAGTTTTAAGTGTAATGTAAGTAACATTTGTGGCGTGACACCTCATATTTGTTTCTTGACAGTAGGGAAAGATCCCAGGTGGTCATTCTCCACTGCTGCTGTTACAGCCTGAAACTTGGGCTAGCTGTGCGGATAATTATCCCCTGAATGTGTGCGGGGCAGCAGCCCCCTCCTCCCTTGCCGGAGCAGCCCTGTGTCTACTGGTGCCACAAGGGGCTTGCTCTTGCCTTTGTAATGTGTGAGGGTCAGTCTAGGCAGATCATGATGAAATTTGCAGCAGGCATCTTCTGACCGAAGCAGGGAGCTTCCTTCCCCCAACCACCCCCAGGGAGCCTGTTTGTTTCAATGAACAGAATGGCTTCAGAGTAACAGCCGTGTTAGTCTGTATTCACAAAAGAAAAGGAGGACTTGTGGCACCTGAGAGACTAACCAGTTTATTTGAGCATGAGCTTTCGCTTATGCTTCATCCGATGAAGTGAGCTGTAGCTCACGAAAGCTTATGCTCAAATAAATTGGTTAGTCTCTCAGGTGCCACAAGTCCTCCTTTTCTTTTTAATGAAAAGAATGGATTTGAAAAAAGTGCAGCAGAAGCCCCCAGCCCTGCTATTGGCTCTGCCAGATACACCTCTGCATTCCTATTGGCTGAGCAAAGAATAGCCAGGCCAGGGAGGGGTGGGGGGAGAAGAGCGAGTGACGTTCAAGCAGCTTGGCTCCGGTTCCTGGCTGCGGGGGAGGAGGAACAAGCAGCGGAGCTTTCACCGGGGTGGGGAGGGGGAAGAGGCGAAGCCAGGCAAGCAAAGTGACCGCTGCTGTCTCCTTTGTTTCAGAGTAGCAGCCGTGTTAGTCTGTATTCGCAAAAAGAAAAGGAGGACTCGTGGCACCTTAGAGACTAACCAATTTATTTTTTGCATTTGCTGCTGCCGTTTTTGCCAATCAGGAGGCGGAACCGGTATCTCAGGAGCTCTGATTCCAACCCAGCTGCTCCTGATTTCCTGACAGCCAGGAGCCAAGCAGGAGTTTGCATTGGCTGGGCCTTTTGTTCTGCTTGAGGAGCCTGCAGTTGCTGCTCTCACTCCGGGGAGGGGAGCGAAGATGGGGGTGGGTAGGAGGGAGCCAGGATTAAGCCCAGGGGCGAGATGCTGCCAGATGGTGGCTGAGGGCAAAGCTCTGGGGCACAGGGAGGGGCAGAGGGGGTAACAGCAGGGGAGCTGGAACAGTTTGTACAGTGGGGGTGCTGAGAGCCATTGAACCAAACTGTCAACCCTGGATATCATGGAAGCCACTTCAAGCCAGGGGGTATAGCAGCACTTCTAGTTCCAGCACCTATGGGTAACAGTTACCCCAATGGGATGAGCCACCTGCCGCGTTTGCAAAAATAGGGTGAGGGCAAAGGGACTTTTTTATTCCCCCTTGCACAGGCCAGTAGGTCTCAGCCCAGGCTTCCCAGGGCTGGGTTCTTAAAGGCACGGGTATCCCCATGCCGAGACACCGCCGCTCCTCCAGCTGATACAACCTGCTGAGATGCTGCAGGAGACTTGCTTCAGTGAAATATTTTACATACACCCCCAAAAAACTATGTGTCACACATCCTGAGTAGTTAAAAGAATCCCTTATCACTTTATATGTCTGCGTAGAGCCTCCTGGCCGCTGACAAATGTGTCTGATCTGCTGCTGGGGTTCCCTGAATTGCGCTCCCTTTCTTGTAATCTATTTTAAATACAGTTTTGCTCCTTCTAATTGTTTACCTTTTACAATGTCATTACTCTTAGCACTTCATCGTTTACCTCTGTCAACGCTGTGCAGATGGGATTTCATTGTGCTGTTTAATTTATATTTTAACAGCAAGGCATTGAAAATATTCAGAAGTAAATTAGGGCCAAGTAGTTTTAGCCATGACATCTGTGTTTCTGGTATAGCACTTCCTCGGCTTTTACTGTGATTTTTAATTTGGAATTTTTAATTCTAAATTTTTATTTTTATAGCACAAGTGTATTCTGTTGGATCCTGTGACTTCCAGTCTGACTGATCTCCTGGCCTGGTGTCAAAACATCTTCATTTGCTCCACCAGTGGGGATTGCCTTTCACAACTGTTGTTTTGCCCTCAATCCAGCCCTTACTGCTTCTTTGCATCTCTCTGCTTGCGTGTAGAACTTGTTTCCTAAATATTCACTAAGGGCAGTTATACAATTTGCTATTAAATCCTCATCAAAGGCAAAAATCTACTATAATTTTTACTGAACATAAAAACAGCCACACTGGGTCAGACCAAAGGTCCATCTAGCCCAGTATCCTGTCTTCTGACAGTGGCCAATGCCAGGGGTGCTTCAGAGGGAATAAACAGAACAGGCGATCATCCAGTGATCCATCCCCTGTCGTCCACTCCCAGCTTCTGGCAAACAGAGACTAGAGACATCTAGAGCATGGGGTTGCATCCCTGATCACCTTTGCTAGTAGCCATTGATGGCCCTATCCTCCAGGAACTTATCCAATTCTTTTTTGAACCCAGTTATAGTTTTGGCATTCACAACATAACGAACACGCGTCTATAACCCAAAGACTGCTTGACAACCACAAGAATTCAAAAATCACGAGTTATACACCCTCAAGTCATGGAATTTTAAAAAGAAATAAATATTGGGTTCTTTTTTATGTGCCTTTTTGTTTCTGGGCCTTTCGGGTACAGGAGGCCCAGATCCACCTAATCCCCTGAGTGAATCTTGGCCTAGCCTCATAGTTTTGCTGTTACCTCTCCCAAATGATTCATATACCTAAAGCCGTATCTACACTACAAACTTACGGTAACACAAGTTACACCAGACTATAGTTGCCACAGTTAGCATGTCACTTGTGTGCGTGCCTACGTGGCTCCTTGTGTTGGTGGTGAGCGCACTCACCAGGAGCGCTTCATTCAGAGTGCAGTGCACCATGGATAGGTAATCCCACTGTGCAACTCGCCACCGCCCACCGCACTGTATTTTGGAAAATTTTGGCAACGCACGATGGAGCCCAAATGGGTCGCACGGGGGTGACTGGGAGCATGGGATCAACTGTCCATAATGCAATGTTCACCATCCCATAATTTTTGCACCTTTTTTCCTATATCCCACAAACCCGCGTGGCCCTCCTCACTGTCTGCCATCTCTGACGGAAGCATGGAGCATGCACAGCTCTGCACTATTGTTATGAGCACTGCATGCCCAGGGTGCATGATCCTGCAGTATTTGCAGAGCCACAAGAATAGACATGGGGGAGATGAGGAGTCCATGCAGAACAGATGGCTGTGGGACAGAGCGACAACCAATTCAAGCTTGTTGGTGGCATTCACAGATTAGTCACAGGTGGTTCTGGGCCCGAGAAACAAGCACCAATTGGGGAGATTGCATCTTAATGTGTGGGATGACAAGCAGTGGCTGCAGAACTTCTGGATGCGCAAAGCCACATTCCTGGATTTGTGTGCAAAACTCGCCCCAGCCCTGTAGGGACACCAAAATGAGAGCTGCACTGACAGTGGAGAAGCAAGTGTCGATTGCACTGTGGAAACTTTGCCGGATTGCAACTGGTCAGTCAGAGTCTCTCAACTAAATACAGGGTGGAACAGATTTATGGGAAGTAGTTAACACATATTAGACGAGACCATTCCATGTCAAGTGGCCTGTTAACACCTCCAGTCAAAGGGGCATTAGTGGGTTACACACTGTTGTCTCTTACAATGCTGGGAAAAGGGAGTTGGAGCGAGGACTCAGATCCTTTCGCTGTCCGATTCCACTGGGGTAGTGCGGAAGCCAGGAAAGTTCTGCACAATAGTGGAACCATCCCCCCACTTACACAACTGGTGTCATGAACCTATCTGTAGGATTTGCCCCATTGGTTTACTTTTTGAGTTCTGGTAGCACTGTCCAGGTCTGGTCGAGAACCCTACACTGGCTGGAATTGAAGCACTATGGACCCAGTTTGCAATGGAGCTGGGCTCTAGCACAGAGAACAGGACAGCAGAGTATCGAGGAAAGGGGGTTTGTCCCTTAGAGTCTTACAGTGATGCAGTTACCACAGCAAGGAGGCAGAGCATCAGCGAAACCTCCAGGAAACTGGGAGTAGGATCTAGGCATCTGATGGGAAGCGAAGGCATACGATGGAATCCAGCCAGGACATCTGAGAGCCCTACAGCTGCTCTGTGGCCCTGGGAAATGTCACAATTCTGCCCAGGAGTCACTGGATTCCTCACAGAGCTGGGCACAGAGCAGGAAGAGGGGACAGACGCTGCAGATGCTGCCAGGGAGGAGATGGGCTGCTCCACCTCTGGAAGCATCTATGTATCCAGCTTCTCAGGACCAGCCCCACTCCAACTCTGTGTGACCACTGGAGATCACTCCCAGCCAGGGCCTCCGGATTCTGCCTCTGAGGCTGTTTATGCTCTGCACCAATTAAATCCCTGGGAGAGAGGAAAAGAAGACATGGAGACTGAGCCCAGAGACACTCAGAGCCGCAAGAGCAAAGACATGGGGTGCCTGAATCAACCCCCCCGTCTAAAGCCACACGGGCAGAGACATCAGCGAAAGGGCTGGATACAGGGAGTGAGCAATTCCTGCTAAGCGGGAGCAAATAAGGGGGAAACTGACCCAGTGTGGGGCATTCTGCCCAGAGCTGGAGAACAGAGGAAATTCCAGGGATATGTTGAGAGATGAAGTAGAGATGCACAACAAACATTTGACCAGGAATTTATTTGGAAAATCAAAAACCCATTGAGGTAAAAACTTCACTGAGAAATGCAGATTAACCTGAAAGCTGAATGCCCTAAAACACGAGACCCTCTCCCCTCCCCAACCATCCTGAAACAAGGAGAAACTCCCGGCTGGGGCAGTTGTTTCAGGAATAATCTGAGTGTGTAACAGCCTGTGCCTGAGAACAAGGACAAGGGAACCTAGCTAAAACCCTTCCCTTCAGCTCAGTAACACACTCCCCCTGACAGAGACCCGGCAAGCAACGGGAGAATGTCTCATAATAATACAATACAGGAATGATAATAATGCAACTTTCCTCCCATGGTGCCTCTTTTCTCCTGAGCCACTGAATACACAGTAACTAGTGACAATCTCATAACTCCACAGGGAGGTGAGTGACTGCTATTACGTGGGTTGTAGGGAGGAAAGAATAGATGCACAGAGAGGAGGGGAAGTGGCTGGTACAAGATCACACCGGGAGACACCTAGCAGAGTTGGTTATTGAACCCAGGAGTCAGGGCTCAGACTCGTCCCTGCTCTAACCTATTAGACCTCACTCCCCTCTCAGAGCCAGGGCCCTGTGTCCCGATTCCCCCTACTCTCCGTATTATACCATACTGCCCTCATAGGAACAGTGCAAAACCCCACCTCATTGGGGAATCTCCACCATGAATTCCAAAATTTCCCCCACACTGTCTGCAGAGGTGTAGTGGGGTGGCTGCCCCACTCCAGGAGAAAATGGGTTAAAGTAGGCCAGAGAGGCTGCACAGATGGGCAGCCAATCAGAAAGGGCCTGTGGGCGGCCAACCAGGACCAGGCTGAGCCCTATATAAAGGCTGCAGCACAGCGGAAAGAGGCGTCTCCCCTGACTAGCAAGGGAGGAGGACTGACTCTTGGTAGAAGGAGTGGCACCCTGGACAGAGCAGTGAGAGCTCTGGCTGACTCTGCCAGACTGCAGGCCTTGAAACAAAGGCTGAGTGGGTGCTAGGGCTACGGGGAAGTGGCCCAGGGAAGGCAGGCAGTGATGGGGAGTGGAGGAAGGCAGCAAGCGGCTGCCACTCAAGGGTCCCTGGGCTGGGGCCCAGAGTAGTAGGCGTGCCTGGGTCCCCGCCCTTGCACCACACCTTGCCATGAGGGAGTGGGACCCATGGACTGCACCTTGTCCCTGAGGTAAGGGACTAGACTTTGGGGTGGCAGGTGGCCATGAAGGCAGGTGTGGACTAGAACTGCTGATATGACCCCGGAAGGGGGGAGAATGGAGTAGTGGGCACTGTTGGAGGGTGGGGTCCTGAAGAGGACACCGCAGTCTAGAGAACGACACATGGCCCAGTGGTGGAGACCACACAGCCGAGCAGACAACGGGCAAGACACCACCTGCAGAGGGCACTACATAGTTGAATGAGCTAATTCCCAGAGCAAGCCAGCAGGAGGCACAGCAGTGGTGAGTCTGTGCCGCGTTACAAGAGAATTCCAATAAACTGTGAATTGCTCTGATATCCTGTCACTTCAGACTGGCAGCTCTCTGCTTTATCACTATAGCCCCACAGGGCCCCTCGCTGCTTCCCTGAATAAATCCCCCTGCCGCTGCCCCAACAGGCCTTAGGACCTACAGAGACAACTCAGATGCGAACTGCAATGGGGCATTTTTACCTTTTTTCTACATTGGACAGTGTGTGGGGAACCTGCAGAAATGTCTCCCCACTAATCCCATTGCCGGCTGTCCCCAGACCCTGAAAGGACCCATCTCCCACCTTACCCAGTGTTCTCGCCTCCTCTGGCCTCCACCAACCACTCCCCACTGAAACCCAGACCATCCACCCAACTGCTGGCCCAACCCAGACCATCTGCAAATGCTGCATATTTATACTTTGCTTTGGAAGGGCAGAGACCCGTTGCCTCACAGGGAGAGCTCGTGCCACATGCTATCCTGTGTGGAGTTTCTGGTGGGACAGGAGAGAGACCTTCGCCTTGTAGCTTTTCCCACAGACAGAACATTTATAGGGTGTCTCTCCCGTGTGGGTTCTCTGATGTGAAATAAGATGCGATTTCCGAGTGAAACTTTTTCCACAGACAGAACATTGAAAGGGTGTTTCCCCGGTGTGGATTCTCCGATGTCTAATAAGGCCTGAGTTGTCACAGAAGCTTTTCCCGCACTCAAGGCAGTGATAGGGCCTCTCCCCCGTGTGGATTCTCTGATGTACAAGAAGGATGGAGCTCAGCTTGAAGCTTTTCCCACAGTCAGGGCATTTATAGGGTCTTTCTCCAGTATGGATAATTTGATGTCTATTAAGGTGTGAGCTATAACTGAAGCGTTTCCCACAGTCAGAGCAGCGATAGGGTTCCTCTCCCCTGCCGGGTCTCTGGTGTAAAACAAGGTGTTTAATAAGTTGTGAGCTCCACCTGAAATGTTTCCCACAGTTGGGGCACTTATGGGGTTTTTCTCCTGCATGGATTGCCTGGTGTTTAACAAGGTTTGAGAAGTGAGTGAACCGTTTCCCACAGTCAGGGCAGCTATAGGGTCTCTCTCCCGTGTGGACTCTCTGATGTACAGTAAGGTTTGATCTCTGATTGAAGCTTTCTCCACAGTCAGAGCAGACATAGGGTGTCTCTCCAGTGTGGATCCTCTGATGTTTAGTCAGGGCTGAGCCATCGCTGAAGCTTTTCCCACACTTGGAGCAGTTATAGGGTTTCTCTCCTGTGTGGACTCTCTGATGGACAAGAAGGTTTGAACTCCGATTGAAGCTTCTGTCACACTCAGCACATTGATACAGTTTATCTTTGGTGCAGATTCTCGGCTGCATCAAGTCTTTATTAAGGTCTTTCAAACTGCCCCCTTGGTGAGTGGATTTATCCTGTCTGTTCCCTGGGTGGGTTCCCTGCTGCATCTCTGCCCTGTGCTGACTCTCACAGGTGTCTCCTTGCTCAGGACTGTGGGAAATGTTCTCTGATAATGCTCTGTGCCGTTGCACTTGCTCAGGACCTTCCTGAGGAGGATTCCCCACTTTGTTCTCATTCCCCATCCCATCACCTGCTGGGATAGAGAGAGAATCCAGACAGGAGTCATTCCCTGCACTGGGGGAATGAAAACCTCAGAAAGGGGAAAGGCAAATGGGGGAAAAAAATCATAATAACTGCTGGGGAGATTGAAAAATCAGCAGGGGACTTCCCCCAAACCCTTTCCCAGGGGAGAAATTCTGGGGGAGGGGACCAATTCTGGCTCCACATCCCATCTGAATACTGTGGGGGACTGCCAGGTGTCAGCCAGGGTGCCTGGGAAGCCATGTATGACGTCTGCAATGAGGCTATGACACCTGCTGGGAATAATCTGCACCTGGGTGAGATGACACAGAACTGAACAAGACCAGGAGTTTACCATGATTCTCATACCGAGTTGTTTTCCAGGTGTGCTGGGTCCAGGGAAATCTAAGGGACCAGGGAAGAACCCTGAGCAGAAATGGACCCAGGACTTCTAATACCCAAGGGGACAGGAATCCTTACCCAATGAGGTCACGTTCTCATAGTTCTCCTGCATGACGTCCCTGTAGCGGGCTCTCTGATGGGGGCCCAGCCCAGCCCACTTCTCCTCCGCGAAATACCCAAGCCCCCTTCTCAAAGGTCACCGACCCCTGAAACAGCCAGAGTCTCCCACTCAGAACCTGCTGCCCCCGTCACAGTCCCACCAGCTCAGTCACAGGCAGGTCTGCAAAATCCCCCTTCCCAGAGACAAAAGGGAACTTTCTCTTCGGAAAGGGAAATTTCTCAAAGCTGTCATTAAAAACACACAGTTTCTGTGGGGAAAATGTGATGCCCAGAGATGCCAACTCTGGTAATTTTATCATGACTCTCATGATATTTAGTTGGGATTTTCAGAAGTTTTTCACAAAGATCTCACAATTCCTGGCATAGAACTTGCACATTTTCCCCTTGCTCCACATGGCTGTCATCTTTCCATGACTTTCAGGAGGGCTGGACTCACACTGCTCTTATTCAAAATGGCCACTATTTCCCTGAAATTTTGGCATGTGGAAGTGAGGCTGCCCCTAGTAAAGATGGCCACCAGCTCCCATTTTTTTCAATGAGACTGAAGCCCTGCTCCTCAAGGAATATGGCTGCAGCTCTGGGGTTAGGAGACTGGATGGGAAACTATGAGGATACACAGAAATATGGGGAGCTACAGGGAGGCTGAAAAGGCACAAGGGGACAGGTGGGAGCTGGAGAGAGGCTAATGAGGTGCCGGGGATTTGGGCATGCAGGGGCAGGCAAGATAGCAGCTGTGAGAGGTAGCAGACTGGACAGGGAAAGACAGTGAATAAGAGGACAGGTGGGGAGATGAGACTCTGGGGAGCTGTGGTGGGGTGGGCAGGAGACTGGCTGGGGAAGAGAGGAGGCAAACTAGTGATAAGGGAGGTGGGTGGAGAGGGGCTGAAGGACATCTCTCCCATCCCCGTGGTAGGGGAGAGTCAGTGGGTGAGGCAGCATTTTCCCATACACACTGTTGCAGGTGGAGTTTTGTCACTGTGATGTGATACGTGCGCACACATACACACATCACCTCCCACATACATGCTGGGGCCAGGCAGCTCTCCCCCTCCCCCACCACGTCTCAGAAACCAGAAGGTAAATAAAAAAAACATTTATTATTATTATTTTTTTAACTTGTCATTTGCCAGATGAACTGGAGAGGCAAACAGGGACATTTTGAAGGCAGTTTAGAGAGGAAGCAGGAGAGGCTTTCTTCCTACATACAGTTCTACATTCATTATCGTAATTGCCAGCGATAGCACCGTGGTTCGGATCTGCCACAGATGTGCCATGTTTTCTGACCTGGTGGAAGCCAGAAAGGACTTCCTCTGGATGAAGTGCTAGTTGGTGGCTATGCTGGTACAGATACTTCAGAGCATCAGAGGCGTCCTTGGACAACCAGATTCAGGAAGCATTGCTACCCCAGGTTCAACAAACAAAGGAATTGGCCACCACAGAACCTGAGGGGCTTAGGCAGCGTGACACCGAGTGTTGCAACACCTAACTTTTAGGCACCTGGCAAATCACAAGAATAACGCTGGGGTCCACAAAGTCTGAGTTACATGCCTGAGCTCCCTGTGCAATAGGCACTTAAGAATGGAATCCACAAAAGCCAGTGCCCTAGGTGGGCAGCCTAAGCCTAAGCCAGCCAGTGGGAGATGCCAATGAGAGAGGTGCGTCTCAAACCTCTCACAAAGCTAGGCATCTAAATCCGGGCTGCAGGGGGTCACTTACTTCTGCTAGTGATCCACGAACCAAGGGAAGAAAGTTATTCCTCCGCCTAAATTGCGTGCAGGACCTGATCTAGTAGACATGCTCAGAGGCTGCCTAGATCTACATAAAACAGGTGGGGGGCAGGCCCTCCCCTACAACCTTTAGCCCGGTGATTATGACATTCACCCAGGGTGTGGAAGATTCTGGTTCAGTTCCCCACTCTGCCTGATGAGAAGGGATTTTGTTACCTCTCAGGTGAGTGCTTTTAATATTAATATTTAATTAAAATGGAACAACTTCAACAAGCAAGACTGAGCATGACCCACAAAAGAACATCGCATAGTTCAGTGGTTAAGAGCACTCACCTGGAGATAGCAGATCCCTGTTCAAATCCCTCAGCAACCAGAGGAGGAACTTGAATGGGTGGTCTCCCACCTCTTATAAGGGCGGGCTGCCTTCCCCCTCACTCTCTCAAGGCTGTTTTATGTAGATCTAGGCCACCTCTAAGCACACCTACCAGATCAGGCCCCCTAGGAGATTTCAGCGCTCTGCCACCTACTGTCCCTCAGGTTGTGAATCGCACTGAGGCTTAGGCAGGAGATAGGTGTCTGGGTACCTAGGGTGATGCACGTGCCCAGAGACAGAAACATAGGCACCAAGGGAGCTCTTCCCGCAAAAACAAAGGTGCTGAATGAGGTTAGCTGCCTATAGGATTAGACGGCAGCTGAGTGGGAGTTCTGCAGATCACAGTGGTGCCTAAAAACAGGATTTAGGCAACTCAGTCTGGGGGTTGGGTGCCCAAGTACCTTTGTGAATCTGGACCTCTGCTTTTAATGTTAATTTTCAAAAGATGTTGGAAGTTCCATAGGACTGGAAGAAAGTTAATGTTGTTCTTCAAAGGGGTAAATGGGATGATGTGGGTAATTATAGGCCCATCAGCCTGACATCGATCCCAAGCAAAATAACAGAACAGCTGATATGAGACTTAAAGAATGAAAAGGGAGTAATATAGTTAGTGTCGATCAACATAGGTATATGGTAAATAGATTCATAGATACTAAGGTCAGAAGGGACCATTATGATCATCTCGTCTGACCTCCTGCACAACGCAGGCCACAGAATTTCACCCACCCACTCCTGCGGAAAACCTTTCATCTATGTCTGAGCTATTGAAGTCCTCAAATGTGGTTTAAAGACTTCTAGGAGCAGAGAATCCTCCAGCAAGTGATCCGTGCCCCATGCTACAGGGGAAGGCGAAAAACCTCCAGGGCCTCTTCCAATCTGCCCTGGAGGAAAATTCCTTCCCGACCCCAAATATGGCGATCAGCTAAACCCTGAGCATATGGGCAAGAATTCACCAGCCAGATACCCAGGAATCTTGGATATTGTTAAACTAGATTTTTTTTTTTAAATGAGATTACAAGTTAGGTTGATAAAGGTAATAGCACTGATGTAACAGATTTTCTGTAAGGCATTTGGCTTGATACTGCAAGACATTTTAATTAAAGAAACTAGATTGATACAAATCAACATGGTGCGCACTAAATGGATTAAAAACTAGCTAACTGACAGATCCCATAATGTAATTGTAAAGAGGGAATCCTCATTGAGCGGGTGTGTTTCTAGAGGGGTCCCACAGGGACAGCTCTGTGTGTGTGTGTGTTGTGCGGGGGGTGCTAGGCGGGCCGGGGGGAGGGGTTAGGGTGCAGAGGGCCAAGCGGGCCCAGGGGCTTAGCGGGGCGGCCTGGCGCCGGCAGCAGGGGTCGGACCCATACTCACTGGCGGGAAGCAGCAGCAGCGACTCCAGCCCACCTCGCTGGCTCCTAACATCTGGGGAGAGGGTGGAAGCCGGAAAGAGGCGGGGCAGGGGCGGGAAGAGGGGGAGTAGGGGCAGGGGTTGTCCCAGGGCCCGCACCCCCCTAGGGACGGCCCTGCTTATGTCACTCAGGGGGGGTGGCTTATTCACACCCTTGAGCGACCGACATAAATGGTAGTGTAGCTATAGCCATAGCTGATGAAGAGCACCCTGTAGCTCCAAAGTTTGTCTCTCTCATCAACAGAAGTTGGTCCAATAAAAGCTATTACCTCACCCACCTTGTCTCTCTATTTCCCTAACTGGGCAGAGCTGGTTCAATCTGCCACCCTTCGCCTTCCTGATAACTTCACTTCCTCAGAGAGACAAAGGGCAACCCCCCCTAGGGCCCCTTCACGGTCCCCCTGCAGCCCCCCTCCTGCTCTGGCCCCCGGGGCAAATCCTGACAGGACCTGAGGGCAGAGGCTTCATTTCTGTTAAGGCAGATCAGATGCCTGCTGCAGGCACATTCACAAGGCAGCAGGTTCCCAGGGCCTGTGAGATCAGAGAGTCACTTTCCTGCCCGGCCCCAGCCCTTTCCCCCGGGTCTCTCCCCTCACCTGCAGGCTCCGGCTCAGGGGCTGGTGTCGGCAGAGGCCGGGGCTGGGTCCAGCCCCCGCAGAAAGGCCCCCGGCTGGGCACAGAGGGGGATAATGCAGGGCTCTCCCCGCACACACCCCGCTGGGGAGCGGCGTTCCTCTAATTCTCATTCACTTTTTGCAGCGCAGAAGCCGTTCGCAACCCTGAACTCTCCCCCTTCCACCCCGGATACAGCAGCGCTCGGCGGATCCAGCCCCTTCCTGTGCCCCGGCTACCACCCGGGCGGCAGCCCTCGCTCGGAGACTCGGGCCACCTTCCCAGCCCGCGGGCAGCGGGTTTCATTAGCCGGGGCCACCAGGAGGCTCCGGAGGCTGCTCGGGGGCGGAGGCTGGGCTCGCTGCCTCTCGCTCTGCTCGGGGTCGGGGCTTCCCGGGTCAGACGCTGCCGCTGCCGCCTCCATTGTCTGGGAGCCGGGAGCGGGACCGAGCAGCGGCTGCAGCGGGGGCTGTGCCGGGGAGGGACCTGCATTAACCCCGCTCTGTGCCCAGCCCCTGGGGCAGCGCCGGGCTCTTCTCGCCCCAGCTCCCGAGCCGGAGCCTGCAGGGGATGCAGAGACCCGGGGGACCGCGCTGGGGCCGGGAGAGGAAACAGCGCTGGGAGATCTCTGGGGTCCTGGAGAAAAGCTCTAGCCAGGGGCACAGGGGGCTGGGTCCCCGCTGTCTGTCCCCCTCGGGCAGGGTCTCTGGGTCTGTCCCTGGGCTGGGCCTGAGCCGGACCCACTACGCAGCGGTTAGGGGGTGAATGGGGTGAAGCCCTTTGAGAGCCCCCGAGGGAAAGCCCTAGAGAAGGGCAGGGCTGTGGCGGGGTGTTGGGTTTCCCACAGAAAAGGGGCACTGCCCCAAACCCAGCAATGAAAGGGGTAAAACAGTGACACGTGCCTATAATTTAGCCCCCGAATGTGACCCCAGCCAGGGCAGTGTCCTGGGTGCACACGGATGCCCTTTGCACACTCAGAGGGGGAGAGGAGTGGCTGGAAAGTAACGGTGGGTGCAGAACTGTGGGTGTAAATTCAAAGGCTGATCCTGGCTCAAGCGAGTAATAAAGTGACCAAGTGTTTGCCAAGCCTGGCAGAGTCTAGATCCTCTGTCTGCAGGGAAAGAGGCTGGGGGTGGGGGTGGTATTAGGGTGTGAAATGAACCAAAGCCCCTTCTGAGACCTCCCCAATTGCCCTTCTTGCCCTGACAGGCTGCAGAATAACGTCGGTGTTTTGATCCAGATCACCCATCCTCCCAGGGGACAGGGCAAGGAAATGGCTGAAGTGGAACAAGCTCAGGTAGGAGATGGTGGGTTTGGTCTGGACTGAATTCGGGGGCAGGGAAAGAAAAACAGAAGGAGAACAGGAAATGAAATCTTTCTTCTGGGTTCTGTGAATGTGGGGCGTGAAATCCAGTGATATTACCAACAGGGGTTGGGGGATATTCCCCTGTGTGAGGTCACAAAACCCTGGATGGGCCAATATCAGAGGCCCATTGCCCTTGCACAGCAGCCATGAGGTCCCTGGAAAGTCAGGGGATGGGCTTGAATAAGAACGGCCAGACTGGGTCAGACCAAAAGTCCATCTAGCCCAGTATCCTGTCATCCATCAGTGGCCAATGCCAGGTGCCCCACAGGGAATGAACAGAACAGGTGATCATCAAGTGAGCCATCCCCTGTCGCCCATTCCCAGCTTCTGGTAAACAGAGGCTAGGGACACTCAGAGCAGTGGTTCTCAACTGGGAGTCCTTGTTCCCTGTGGGTCCATGAGCCCTTCTGGGGGCGTCATGGGGCCCCACCTCTAAAACCTGGTGCCCCGAGCCCTGGCACCCGCCCCCCATGGGCTGAAGACCTCAGCTGCAGCGTCCCCCTGCGGGGCTGAAACCGGGAGCAGCGCGGGGCTGAAACCCCTCCTGCCTCCCGCAGTGAAGCTGGAAGTAGTGGAGCTGAAGGCCCGATGCAGGCAGAAACCTTGAGCCCATGGACAGAGTTGAGGGGGCACAAGGCTGTTGCCCCTCCAAATTTCAGTGCCTTATCCAGAGTGGGGCAGGCCTGGGGCCAGCCCCCCAACCTCCTCCTCTCCCCCAGCCCGGCTCAGACCCTTGGCCAGGTTGTAGGTGGGAAGCCAGAGCCAGGCAGTGCAGGCAGCTGCTGCTCTGGCTGGTGTCCTGGAGCAGGCAGCCAGGGCATTCCCCTGTCTGCTGCTGGTGCCCGGGATTGTGGCTGCTCCTCAGTTCCCAGCCCCCTTTGACTGCTCACGCAGCCAATCAGAGCTGCCCAGGTGGGGACCCGGCTCTGGGGCCGGCAGAGCCCTTGGGGAGCAGCCACTGGCACACAGCCCCAGACAGGTGGGTGGCCTGCTGAGGTGAGTCGGAGGTGGAGGTGGCGCTCCCTCCCTGGACCCCGCTGTGCGGAGCTGGCCCAAGCCCCCCCAAATAGAAGTCAAACTACGCCTATGCCCAAAGGTCCCACTCCTGGCCCCCGAGTCCCGAACCCAGCAGGAGGTAGCAGAGCGATTCCTCTGTAGGCTGCAATGTGGTGTGTGGGGAGGGGATGTGTCGGAAGGGGAGGAGGGATTCGGAGGCAGAGATGGGGGTCATGGGAGTTACAGAGCCCCCAGCCCGGCACTCAGACCTGCTTTGTCCTTTGCCCTCCATTTACTCTCTACTCTTCCCCCATCCCCTTCCCACCTGACCCCAGAAGTTCACCCCCTCCCCCCCGAACTCACTTTAGTACTCCCCTCCCCCCACACGGGTCTTATCCTTCCAGAGTCCATGTTTGCAGAGGGTGAGCTGATTAAACCTGGGGCTCATTAGAAACAGGCTGTGTTCTACTCCCTCCGCTCTCCCCCGCCACACTCCACACCCCTGCTGTCCCCTCCACTTCCCCATCTTCCCTCCTCACTCCTCCCCATCACTCCTCCACTTTCACTCCTTCCCCCCACTGGTTCCCCTCCCCTCCATCCCCACAGTGCCTTCTGCTTCCCCCGCAACCCCGCTCCTCCCCCTGCAGGTCCCACCCAAAAGCCATCCTCTAAGGCTGTGTTATGTCTGGTACAGTCCAGGCTGTACGATCTCGCCATGCAGCCAGCTCAGCCACTGCCCGTGATGTGCACACAGCAGCAGGGTGCACCAGAGGGATTCCTCTGCCTGCAGCTGGATTTGGTCTCTAAATCAGGCTTTTCTGGTTTTCATTTTCACCCAATCAGCAGGATGCTGCCAGTGGATCCCTAGAACATTCCCTGAATTTTGGAATGGATCGGCTGCAGTGTCCAACAGATATCGCATCACAGACACAGGGAGAAATCCCTTTGAGTGGTACGTCGAGCCTTGCTTCCCCCTCCGGCAGGAAAGTTGGAAGCACTTACATTTCCCTTCCAGTGTCTGAGTTTGTAGGGGGAATTTCATCCCCTGAATGTGTGTGTCACTGCAGGGGGAATCTCAACCTGCAACACAGCACACGCAAAACTGAAGCCCCACACTACTCACTGACAGAGGGATTCAACCCCCTGGGAAGGGGAAGCTGCCCTTGTGTCCCTCTGCACCTCCCTTGCTTACCCAGCACCCATATCTTCTCTCTATCCCAGGTAGTCTCTTGCAAACTTGCCCCACCTCCTATATTCACCTCTTTTTCCCTTCACAGTCTCATACCTCTCACAGCTGCTATTTCCCCACATGCCCCTGCCCACCCTAAGTCTCCTTACACTCCTTCCTGCACCTCTTCCCTCTCCTTTCTACAACACACACCTTCCCCTGAAGCCTCCTAAAGCTCCCCCTGCACCCCACTTCCCCTCCACTCCATCTTCCCTACCAAGCCCACACATCTTCCTGAACCCCCTTAATGTCAATCTGCCCCCCACAAATCACCCTGCACTCCGCTCGGCCTCCCTCTAGCTCCTGACACTTACCCTGTATCCGCCTCACCCCACTCCCCACATTACACAGCACCCACACTTTACCCCCCTCCCTGGACCCCGCTGCCTTCCCCACTCATTCCCTTTACCACCACCACTCTGCCTCTAACTCCCCACATTCCCTTTTCTATTCAGTTTCCTATCCAGTCTCCCAAGCACAGAGCTGCAGCCATATTCCCTGCGGAGAGCATGGCTCCCGTTTCAAAGAAAACCATGGGAGGTGGTGGCCATCTTTATTAGGGGAAGCCTCACTTCTACATGCCAAACGTGTAGGGAAATGGTGGCCATTTTGATTTCAGACCCCCTGAAAGTGATGGGAGATGGCAGCCATGTCGAACAGGGGACAGTGCAAGTACTATCAATCTGTGGAACTCATTGCCAGAGGATATTGTGATGGCCAAGAGTATGACAGGGTTCAAAAAAGAACTAGATACATTCATGGAGGATAGGTCGATCAATGACTATTAGCCAGGAATGGTAGGGATGGTGTTCCTAGCCTCTGTTTGCCAGAAGTTGGGAATGGGTGACGGGGAATGGATCACGTCATGATTATCTGTTCCGTTCATTCCCTCTGAAGCACCTGGCATTGGCCACTGTTGGAAGACAGGATACTGGGCTAGATGGACCTTTGGTCTGATGCAGTATGACTGTTCTTATGTTCCGTGCTAGGAATTGTGAGATCACGGGATAATTTTATAACTCTCAACTAAATATTGTGAGACCTGTGATGAAATCACTGGAGTCAACAGCACTGGGCATCACAGTTTCACCACAGAAACAGTGTAGGTTTTTAATGAACAATTTGAGAAATTTTACCCTTCTTCCCCAGAGAAATCAGGGAGATTTACCAGCCTTACCCCATCACATGGTTGACCACTGCACATGGCACCTCCTCCTGGTGGCTCTGGGGATTAGCTCCTGACAGGTGCTGCACTCTGGCAGTGTCTCTCCCATCATCTTGTGGACCCCTCTCACCCCTGGAACTGCAGTTTCCTCTTCATGACTCAGCCCTTGGGCCGGGTCACCATACATGTTCCCCGCCTTCCATCTGGGCCTATCAAAGTCCCTCTTGACAATCTGGGGCTCAGGCAGTCTCACTGCCCCACGAGTGCCACTTCATCAGTGGCTGGTAGGGGGACTCGGGGCCCCCCCACCTACTCTGGGTCCTGGCTCAAGGGCCCTCTAATCTGCAGCCAATCTCTGGCCTACCCCATACCTCGTTCCTTTTCTCCTGAGCCTTGCCACCCTCTCTGGGTCTCCCCTTTCACTGGGTTTGCAAAGCCAAGCTCCCTCCTCCCAGGGCGTGACTGCAGCCTGCCTTTCTGCTGCCCTGTCTGTAGCCAGCTTCCTGGCTTATATAGGCCCCGCCTGTCCCTGCATAGGTGAGCCTCTCTCTAATTAGTAGCCTCTAGCCTAAAGTTCTGCTGTTTGCAGCCTAATTAGCTGATTGGGCCCAACTAGCCCAATTCAGCTCTTCCAGGGCCATTGTGGGGAGCACCCCGCATCACAAGGCCTGAGACTGAGCTGGGGGCATTGTGACGGGGGGAACAGGTCCTGAGTGGGGGACTCTGGCTGTTTCAGGGGCAGGTGACCTTCGAGGAGGTGGCTGTGTATTTCACGGAGGAGGAGTGGGCTCTGCAGGACCCACTTCAGAGAAACCTCTACATGGATGTGATGCAGGAGAATTATGAGAACATGACCTTGCTGGGTAAGAAATCCTGTCCCCTCAGGTATTAGAAGTAGGGGGATCTCTAATTAACCAAAATTGGCTTCTACTCAGGGTTCTTTCCTGGTCCCCTAGATTTCAGGGGGATCAACCCCATAGTCCCCAGAACGCTTGAGAGACAGCCTGTCACCTCCATACCCCTTCCAGGGAAGAGGTAATTCGGAGACAGTGTGGAGATATTAATCAATCCCCATCAAAGGGAGAGTGTGGGTGGTGTGTTCCTCTTGTCTTTTTAAATATGGGCTCATTCTGGGATTGTGTGTCCTCTTCTTCCCAGGACTGGCACTGTGCCTGGAAAGAGCTCTGGTCTCAGCAGGGTTTCAAAGGGGTAAGAGGTTGAATGAAGTCTTGTTCTATGCCAGATTCTTAAAATCCCCCAGTGTGGAGATCCTTGAATCGCCTGCAGAAGAAACGGCACATCTCCCAGGAACCATCCGATCTGCTCGAATGATCTCCAGGAACATTTCCCCATCTGTTGGTTTTATTCAAGGGCACCCTCCCACCCAGCACAGCACATCTGGAAACGTCTGTGTCCCCGAGTAACTGTAAGACCCTGGTTTCACCTCTTTTCTTTCCCTGGAGCAGGATTTCCCATTCCCAAACCTGAGGTGATCTCCCAGCTGGAACAAGGGGAAGAACTGTGGGTCACAGAGCTACAGGCCTGTGTGGAAAGGGAGATCCCGAGAAACTCCACCCCAGGTGAGAAATTAATTATATGGATTCACAATCCACTCATTATTGGCACAAACAGCTGGGATTCCCACAAAGGACCTACAAGTTTCTCGCTTTCTGCCTCACTTTACCTGGGTCTGGATTGTCCCCAGCAGGTACTGTGTCCTCACAGCAGATGTCACTCATGGCTCCTGTCTTTCCAGTCTCCCCAAGAGATATTCCTGTTTGTTCCACCCCTTAGCCATTCCCCTTCCTTAGCTTCCCTTTTTCCTCGACACAGGGAAGGACTCATGTCTGGATTCTCTCTCTGTCCTAGCAGGTGAGGGGTTGGTGGGTGAGAATGAGGAGAAGAATCCTGAACAGAAAGATGCTGAGCAAGTAGAATCGCAGGGGACCTTACCGGGAATATCTGAAGGTGATGTTTCCCAGAGTCTGGTGCAAGGGGATACCTGTGAGAGTCAGCCCAGACCAGAGAGGCTGCAGGAAGACCACCAAGGGGAGAGGCAGAATAAATCCACTCTCCGAGATGGAAGTTTGAATAACCTGAATGAAACTGTGATCCGCCCAAGGATCTGCACTGAAGAAAAACCGCATGAAGATGCTGGATGCAGGAAAAATTTCAGTGAGAGTCCACACCTGATCGTACATCGAAGAATCCACAAGGGGGAGAAAATCTATAAATGCTTCGAGTGTGGGAAAAGCTTCAGTCGTAGCTCAAACCTCATTGCGCATCAGAGAGTCCATACAGGAGAGAGACCCTATAAATGCCCAGAATGTGGGAAAAGCTTCAGCCGCAGCTCAAACCTCATTGCACATCAGAGCGTCCATACGGGAGAGAGACCCTATAAATGCCCCGAGTGTGGGAAAAGCTTCAGCCGCAGCTCACATCTCATTACACATCAGAAAGTGCACATGGGAGGGAGACCCTATAGTTGCCTTGACTGCGGGTAAAGCTTCAGTTACAGCTCAGTCCCTATTAAACATCAGAGAACTGACACTCTAGGGAGACCTTATGTGTGTTCTGTCTGTAGGAAAAGCTACAAGGCAAAGGTTCTCAAATATCCCACCAGAAACTGCACACAGGATAGAAGGTGGTGGGAGCTCTCGCTGGGGGCAAATGGGTCTGTGTCCTCCTGCAGCAAAGTGTAAATGTGGAGGGTCTGGATAGGAGTAGAAGGCAAGTGGATCATTTTGGTTTCAGTGGGGGATGGTTCGTGTTGGCCAGGGACGAGGGAACTCTTGGTACTGAGGAGCTGGTCGTTTCATGGTCGGAGGGAGCAGGTAATGGGATGAGTTGGGTGACATTTCTGTGGGTTACACACACACTTTACAGTACAGAGAAGAGGTAAAAATCCCTGGTCGCAGTTTGTGTCTGCCCCTCATCTCTGCCCCTTGGGACGGAGATAGGGGGACGTTATTCAGGGAAGCAGTGAAGGGGGCCTGTGGGTCTGTAGATATAAAGCAGTGAGAGCTGCTGGTCTGAAGTGACAGGATTTCAGAACAGGGCTCAGTGTACTGGCTATCTCTACAGACAGTGAGGTGGGCTGGAGATTGGGGAATTCATGGGGAGTTTCCTGAGGAGGTGAGACCTTTGGGATATTGCACTGTTGCTGTGCAGGCAGTATGGTGTAATAGTGAAAGCAGGGAGTTTAGGAATCAGGACTCTGGGTGGGGAGTAGGGTCTAATTACTCCTGGGGGAATTCTGCACCAAAAAATTAAATGCCAAAAAAATAAAAATTCTGTGCACAAGATTTTAAAATTCTGCAAATTTTATTGGTCCAAATAAAACTACATAATCATGCCAGTTTCAATTATTTTAGTAATTTATTTCAAAATACCTGTCAGCAAGTCTGTCTGTAGCAATACAGACATACACAAAAATTCCCCCAGGAGTAGAGAGTTAAAGAAACCGTTATGACAACCCAGTTCCTGTTTCTCTGCCCCCTCCATCCCCCAGAGCCCAGCCGGGGGGCCAGACACCCACAACCCCTCCCCTCGAGAGCCCAGATGTGCGTCCCCAGCCAATACACCTAACCTGCCTACCTCTCCAGAGCCCAGCTGCGGGCCCTCCCCAGCCCACCAGGACCCAGCCGTGCCCCCCCAGCCCAGGCACCTGCCCCCTTCCCGCCCTCACAAAGCCCAGGGATAAGCCTGATGCTGGGTCCCAGGCTTGTGTGGCGGTTACTGCACTCCACCGCCTCCTTCCCTCAGGGCGTGCTGGGAATTGCAGCTGCCAGGAACCCTCCAGCTCCCTCCTCCCCCCGCCCAGCAGTGTTGTCTCGGCTCTACTGGGTCCAGCAGCCCCTAGTGACGACCAGCAGCTCTGCAGCCCATTTCTGTGGGGGAAAGGAAATTCTGCGTGCACATTACTTTCTGCAAAATTCTGCATTGTGCAATGGCACAGAATTCCCCCAGGAGTAAGTCTAATGGGTTAGAGTAGGAAGGACAGTGAAACCTATGAATCTGCAGTCCTGCATTCCATTCCCAGCTCTGCTAATGGTTACATTTGTGACCTTCTACCAGCAGCCTGTCTCCTTTCCTGGCTTTCCCTGGTGGGAGACTGTTTTAGTAAGCCTAAGGGAAAGTTTTAGCTGGATTCCTTTGTCCCTGTCTCCATGCAGAGGCTCTGTTCATGTTGTCACATGCTGGGGTTATTCCTGAAGGAACTGCCCTGGGAGGATTTTTCTCCATTTTCTGGATGGTCAGGGAGACAAGAGGGTCTCGTGTTTCTGGAAATGTGGGTTTCAGGAAAGTCTTTTTCTTGTTGACGTTTTTACCTCTGTTGGTTTCTGGTTTTTCAAAGAAATGCTAATAAAATGTTGGCTGTGATTCTCCCATCACCCTGGGTGTCCCACAAGTTTCCTGTGTTCTTGAGCTCTAGGGATGGTGGGCCAGGTGTCCCAAACCGGGTCAGTTCCTCCCTTATCCACTGCCCCTCAGCCGGAATTGCTCATTACAACAAATCCAGCCCTTTTGCTGAGGTCTCTGTGCATCTGGTTTTAAAAGGGGATCTGGGCTCCTCCATGTCTTTGTTCTTGTGGCTCTGAGTGACTCTGGGTTCAGTGTCTGTTTCTTCCCTTCCCCTGTCCGACAGGTTTAATCAGTGCAGGGGATAAACCACCTCAGAATCCAGGAGCCCTGGCTGGGCGTGAGCCCCAGCGGTTGCTTAGAACTGGAGCAGCTGGTCATTGGGAGGCTGGATACATGAATGTTTCCAGATGGGGAGCAGCCCATCTCCTCCTTGGCAGCATCTCCAATGTCTCTTCCCTCTTCCTGCTCCGTGCCTAGCTCAGTGTGGGATCCAGTGACTCCCAGGCAGAATTGTGACATTTCCCCATGGACACAACAGCTGCAGGCTCTCAGATGTCCTCCATCCCAGGTCATCGTTTCCCACCAAATGCCTGCTCCCACTCCCAGGTTCCTAGTGGTTTCTCTGATGCTCTTGCTCCCTCTATGGTAACTGTTGTGATAAATGGACCTACAAATGTACTGTCATTGTCAGTGATGCCATTTCAGAATGGGGGGGGGGGGTTGAGGGGGAGAGGAACTTTAACCATGATTCCAGGAGCTACTTAGGCACCTGAAAACTCTATTTCTTTTGGCAGATGATAGCCTAGAAATTACCTGCCAGGAGCACTGTATCTGATTCCTATATAAAGAAAAATATATATACAAACACCAGTTAAAGCCATATTTTAATTTTATATGTAAGTTTAGAACAATCAGGAGATAATGCAGTAAAATATTCTCAATCCCAAGCCTTGAGGTTTCATAAGAACGGCCATATTGGGTGAGACCAAAGGTCCATCTAGCCCAGTATCCTGTCTTCCGCCAGTGCCAGGTGCTTCAGAGGGAACAAACAGAACAGGCAATCTTCAAGTGATCCATCCCGGGTTGTCCACTCCCAGCTTCTGGCAAACAGGCTGGGGACACCAACCCTGCCCATCCTGGCTAATAGCCATTGATGGACCCATCCTCCATGAACTGATCTAGGTCTTTTTTGAACCCTATTATAGTTTTTGGCCTTGACAATATCTCCTGGCAACTAGTCCCATGGGCTGACTATGCTTTGTGTGAAGAAATACTTCCTTTTGTTTGTGTTAAACCTGCTGCCCAGTAATTTCATTGGGTGACCCCTAGTTCTTGTGTGATGAGAAGGAATAAATATGATTTCCTTATTTACTTACTCTGCTCCCAGTCAACGTTTTATAGACCTCTCTCCTATCCCCCCTTAGTCGTCTCTTTTCCGAGCTGAAAAGTCCCAGTCTCATTAATCTCTCCTCGTATGGAAGCTGTTCCATACCCTTAATCATTTTTGTTGCTCTTATCTGAACATTTTCCAATTCCAATATATCTTTTTTCAGAGGGGGTGACCACATCTGCATGCAGTATTCAAGATGTGGGCATACCCTGGATTTATAGAGAGGCAATATCATATTTGCTGTCTTATTATCTATCCCCTTCTTAATGATTTCCAACTTTCTGTTCGCTTTTATGATGGCTGCTGCGCATTGTGTGGATATGTTCAGAGAACTATCCACAATGACTCCAACATCTCTTTCTTGAGTGGTAACAGCTAATTTGAACCCCATCATTTTGTTTTTGTGTAGGTGGGATTATGTTTTCCAATGTGTGTTACTTTTCTTTTACTTTCCTCTATCAGTTTTGGAGCCTTAATACAAGAACTAATAACTTTAATGGGTAAATAAAATTCATGCTGAATATTTGCTCAATATCATTGTCCTTACAACATCACACCAATCACCCTCAAACACTCACATACTTTTTAATTTTAATTATATTACCATTTGGAAAATTATACTCAAGCAAATATATGCAGTCTTAATTTGTATCTCATTTCTCATCAAAAAGTTATGAAGTCTAAAGTAGTTGAGTTTCCCCTCAAACATTCTTCTGAAACATGGTATAACTAACAAACTAGAGAAGAAATTCATTGTGGCACTAGCTTAAAAAAAAAGGAAAAGCCAAAAAGCTTTTAAAGTGATCATTGGAAAGAAAAGATTACAATAGATTGGCGAACATGGATTTCCTATCAGCTGTAATACATCTGAAGGTGTATTTCCAGTAGATAAAATATTATCACCTTTTTCCAATGATGTTATTCAATAATAAGAAATAAAGTCTTAACATTGTAATCTATTTAAACAATGCATTTGATATTTCTCCAGCACAAATGAAAACACACTCTAGTTCAAGGTACTAAAGATGTAAGGATTCAAAACATAAAAATGAACTTAAAAATTGATCTTGCATTTACTGAGCTTAAAGCCTGTTTTAACCTCTGGAAAATGTTCAGTTTTATAAGGTAATATAGAAATCCTGAGTATGTATCTACAGTGACCCAACCGGATGATTCTTAACTGTTCCTAATGAAAATATAATATGACACTAAATCTTAGATGTTATTAAGAAAAAAAAATTCCCAGGGTACAAAGACTAATCCTAGAAAGAAAACATTTTGTTTGCTGAGTGAGAAGCAGAGGTATGGCCTGTATCTTCCTCTGACTTCCATCAGGAGCAACTGAAACGTCTAAGGGAAGCACTGACTGTTACACTGAAAATAAAAGTGAGCAGTTTTGTGCGGGAGGCTTACGAAGAAGGAACCCCCCCTCCCCTTAATGGTGCTCCTGCGGTTTATGCAGAGTCACTTTCCTGCCCAGCCCCAGTCCCAGCCCTTTCCCCCAGGTCTCTCCCCTCACCTGCAGGCTACGGCTCAGGGGCTGGTGTTGGCAGAGCCCGGGGCTGCCCCAGGGGAAAGTTCCCACCTGGGCTGGACACAGAGGAAGCGTTAATGAAGGTCTGTCCCTGAAACAGCTGCCCTGGGGGGAGCTCAGATCTCAATGGAGGACACAGCAGCATCTGAGCCAGGAAACTCAACCCCCAATATCCTGAGCACGAGCAGCCTCCTCAGCCTTAGCAATAATTAACAAAGAGCCCTAGTGACTAGGATGACCACATAGCAACTGTGAAAAAAACGGGACGGGGGTGGAGGGTAATAGGTACCTATATAAGAAAAAGTCCCAAAAAACGGGACAGCTGGTCACCCTACTGGTGACAGCAATGAATGAACTGAATGCAGCTGAGAAACAATCTCAGCTGTGTTAACAGCTGCACAGCAGCATCTCTATGGCCACTAAAGGGCTCTGGTTAGTGCCAAGGGATCAGCAGAGCATCTGCTCAGCTTTATTTGCTGCTGCTTCTTTTGTGATGTATGAACCCCGCCCAGGCTGAGCCGGAGCCTGCAGGTGAGGGGAGAGACCCGGGAGAAAGGGCTGGGGCTGGGCTGGGAAGTGACTCTACACCAGCGGCCCCTCCTCTCCAGGGGCGTTGGAACAATTTGTACAGTCAGGGTGCTGAGAGCCATTGAACCAAACTGTCAACCCTGGATATAACGACAGGTTTCAGAGTAGCAGCCGTGTTAGTCTGTATCCGCAAAAAGAAAAGGAGGACTTGTGGCACCTTAGAGACTAACACATTTATTTGAGCATAAGCTTTCGTGAGCTACAGCTCACTTCATCGGATGCATGTAGTGGAAAATACAGTGGGGAGATTTTATATACACAGAGAACATGAAACAATGGGTTTTATAATAGCTCACCTTACCTGATCACTCTCGTTACAGTGTGTATGGTAACACCCATTGTTTCATGTTCTCTGTGTATATAAAATCGCAGAGCTGCTGCCCTCACTGACGCCCCGGGGCTCTGCTCCCCTGAGCGCCTGCAAGAACTGATCCAGCTCCAGGAGGAGAGAGGACCCAGTCTCCCAGCTCAAGAGGAGAGAGACAGGGAGTTAGGGAAATAACAGGGAGAGGAGAAGAGTGGGTGACACAGGGGAGAGGGGGGCATTTATTCTTAATTTAAGAATCCTGCTCTGGGGAGTGCAGTGGTCTTCCAGGCCAAAGGACCGGGTGAGGCAAGGTCATGCATTAATGAACAGTGCAGAATCTGTTCCTGTCGCTAGACTGCATTAATGCATATGTACCAGGGGGCAGAAGTACCACTGCCCTCTGCTGCCCCATCCCAGCTATGAGTGCTTGCCTGAGCAACCTTAATAACATTCTTTAGTGGTGTGTGTAGGTAATACTGATATCAATGCTCTGATATTGCTGCTCTTTACAATGATTTAATCCGGAGATAGCCTCTCCATCTCTAGTGCGTCTCTCCAAGAATCAAATGTTACTGTAATAGCCATCAGACATTTTCCCTTTTCTCAGTTATTGAATTTTTATATAAAAATCCCCACCCAGATTTCAATCCTTTTCTATTTATTCATATTTTCACAAAACATTTGCACATTTTTCTATCTAAATATCCCATGTTGATGTAAAATCGCAAATGTTGTCCTTGTAATTAACAAACATTAATGTAACACTGGGTTTTGTCATAAACCCTCCATCTTCAGCCCAACAACCTGGAGAGACAATCAGGACCAGTGCTTTCCACTGAGTCCCCACGTTCCCTACCTCAGAGCTCTTTCCCCACAGCCAGCTAATATGCACTAAGGCATATCTGGGGCCTGCAAAGCCAGCCACGGGGGCAGCAGGCAGCCCAACATTTGTATTTACAGGGTTACTGTTAACAATCCCCTGCTCCTGTTCTGGGGATCTGCAGTGGATGGGTTCCAGGGTTGGGGAAATAAAGCACCAAAGAGACTTCCCAAGAACCTGCCAACTCTATTAAGGGCCATTTTTGCTCATTATCCAACACCGACAACTCCGGGAGTTTGACAAACTAAATTCTACTTTATTAATTAAAACCAGGAAATAAAAGCAAAACTTCCCCCACTGCCTAAGAACCAGCAACAGGCCAGCTTTTTA